TACTACATTTGTTCTAAAATGTAACCTTCTTCCTTAATTTGTAACTATATGATCAAATTCTCAAATTTTTATTATGTTTTAGGAAAGGTATTTTTCTTAACGCAGCCAGATTGGTACTTATTTAACCCTGATGCTAGCATGCTTTCTGCTTTTCGCATGAGCAACACTTTAGATAAACAATTTGTGTTAAATGTGAGACCCAAAAGTTTTCTGTGAAGCTTCTCTGGGAATTTTAGCGTTTTCCTGATTTTCAGGTGAAGTAAATTTCAGCAGTATATATGTAGCAGTGTATATATTCATATATATATCTACATGTGTGTGTGTATATGTATATATGTATATATTTGTGCCAGACATTTTCCCAGAAGTTTTCTGTAGTTGTCAGATACTGTAACTGTGTAGAGAATAATAGCAAAGTCTAATGCTTATAGCATTTCACATTGTAATGTTTTATCTTGTGATATTTCAATGCTTTTTCTATCACAAATAAACCATCATTACACATAAAACAATTCAGGCTTCTGCTACATACCACTTTTTTTTCTGCCTGTGTTATTACCTTACCTTACCTGTTTGACCCTTTAGTTCAATGCAATAACTTCTCTGTACTCAATTGAATTTTTTTTTTCTACACTTATTGGTAACATAAGGAAAGTGGTGTGAGTGGAACTCTTTTCTATGGAGGAAATGCTGTTTTTAGAATAGCACATACTTGTTTCTGCTTGATTCAGTGATATTTATTTATTTATTTTTTTAGTCTTTTGTTTCTGGAGAATTTTTTTATGTTCAAAATCATTTAACGCAGACAGACTCATCCACTGTTAGTTTCATATGATGAGTAAAAGACATTAGTTCACTGGTTGCACATTCAGTTCTTTTGCAACTTTGCTCAATACAGACTGTCACTCAATGTCTGGTGTTAGTGATAGTGAGGATATTCTGTATGACTCAGACACTGTGTTGTTTGAATGCGATCACCTGTACTTTGATGTACAAGGAATCTGAATCAAATCTAATCTATGATGAAGTAATTAACATTGGTGGAAAATTTCCCTTGTGTATACATGCTTTTTTGATCTCTAGCTTATAAGACTAGCACACAGTATCAATACTAAAGCAGATGAATGAAAGTAATAGAGTAATTGAAGTCTCAGTCTCGCTCTATGTTGTTGCAATATACAAGAATCCTAACCATGTGTCCCTTTAATTCCAGATGCTGATTTATGTAAGTCTTGTAGAATGTATATGTTGAGGTAGGCAGCACCTATTCAAACGAAAGATAACTGGGCACAAGGAACTCCTAAATAGATGAAAAACAACTATTGGATACAAGCAGACAGTAAAACTGCAGGTAGAAAATAAGGTCAGAATAGTGGGCAGTAGCTGTAGCGCATCAGCTTTGTAGTTGTCACTGTTTCTGTATGCATTATCCCAAAGAAGTTACAGTGTGTCTGAAGGAAGATAATAAACTCTTAAAACCGAGGCCCTAGCCTGAGAGTCTGTTTGAATCAATAGAATTATTTCTAGGTATGTCAAGAAACATTAGATCAAATCTATCACTATCTGGTGAGGGAGTTTTATAATCAAAATTACTGTAGGATTTTACAGAATTAAATGTACTGAATTCTGCATGAGCATTCTAGCATACGGTATTTTAACATGATTAATTCTATGTTACATTTGGAACAATTCTACTAGTTGGTGCACCACAGTTTTTTTTTTTGGTTTTTTTTTTTCAAGTTCTCTTGGACTGGCTTACAGACATGCTGAAAATCATGATTACCAGTGAAATAAGTAAAAATAAGTCATTTTACACACAATTTAATAATTTCAGGAACGTTCTATCTTAAAACAAACCCCCTCAAACTAGTTATGACAGGATTTGCACTGAAAAGTGCATAAGAACCTTTCTTCATCCTCATCTGAGATTAATACAGTGGTGGCATTTCAAGTACATAGTATCTACTCACTAGTAATGCGATAAACTGAATTCACAGTATCAAAGTTTTGCAAAGCTAATGTTTTAGTAGGTTTGGACCGGCTTCCAAGTATGCCTCTGAGTGCATGTTAACAATTTATTGCAAACACAGAGCTATAATTTATATTGTGATGAGGGAGTTCTCTTGCATTAGTTGTCAGCTTTGAGTACATGCTTGTATGTGGCATTGCTTTTATTGCTACACAATAGATGCAGTGTTTCTTGGTGCTCAATCAGAATTTCAAAGCATGTCAGCCTTAAATTGAGAAATAAAGCCAAGTCTGGTAATTACCTAAGTGGAATAATGGCTTACTAAATAATTAGATGTCAATTTTAAGTATACCAAGCAACTTGAAGAAACAGTGAAAGTTATAATGTCATTTGGATTGAGTAATGTGGGAACTGACGTTATTTTGGTTAATGTTTCATCATTTTGGATTAGTATTTATTTTTAACTACAGAGTAGAACTTACTAAGGTGTTTTCGTACAATTTAGAGGAGATCATGAATATTTGTATTTCTAGCTTCCTAAAATGCAGTAATGATCTTGCAACACAAATACGCCTGTTCTAGCCCCAACATTCCTTTTAGTTTAAAGTATGTTAATCAGTAACCTGATCACCTGTGACAACATGACTTTTGCTTATTAGATGAGGGAAAGACTGTGAGGCTGTTCTAATGAATTTTAGAAACGTGTTTCCCACAGTATTCTTCTGGAGAAACTGGCTGCTCATGGACTGTACAGGTGCGCACTTCATTGAGTGAAGAACTGGTTGGGTGGTTGGGAGTGAATGGAGGTAGATGCAGTTGGCATCTGGTCAATAGTACTCTTCCCCAGTACTCTGTGTTGAGGCCAGTTGTGTTTAACCTTTTTTATTGATGACCTTGATAAGGAGATTGAGCGCTCCCTCAATAGATGTGCAGGTGATACCAAGTTATGTGGGACTGTTGATCTGCTTGAGGGTAGGAAGGCGTCTTCAGGGAGCTCTGGATAGGCTGAACTGATATGCTGCATCCAATTAATTGCAAGCATTCAGCAAGGGTGAGTTCCAGGTCTTTCACTTGTGTCATAGCAACCCCATGCAGCACTATATATAGGCTTGGGAAAGGGAAGATGGAAGATAGCCAGGCAGAAAAAAAGACCAAGGGGTACTAGCTGATGGCCAACTGAACAAGAGCCAGCCTGTGGCCAACAAGGCCAGTGTTATCCTGGCCTGCATCAGAAATAATGTGGCCAGCAGGCCTAGGGAAGTCATCCTCTTGTATGTGGTGCTGTGTTATGTTTTGGATCCCTCACTAGAAGAAGACTATTAAGGTGCTTTCAGCTGATGAGGTGTGTAGAAAACAAGACAGTGAGGAGCAAATGAAGGTACTGGGGCTGTTTAATCTGAAGAAGTTGAGACTGAGGGGAGAGCATTCAGGCATTAGAATGGGCTTCCCAGAATGCTGGAGTTGTCATTCCTGACGATATTCAATAGATGTATGGACTTAGTAATAGGGAATCTAGTGTAGTGATGGAACTGATGGTAGGTAAGAAGGTTGATGGTTGAATTTAATGGTCTTTAAGGTCTTTTTCCCACCTACATGTCAGATTATATTAACTAGAAACTGATTACGTGTGGCTGTGCATCCATACAGCTATCCAGTGATGCAACTGTCCATCTGTACCTGTATTTTGTGAATGTTCACTCTTACCTATATTAATATACCTTCTTACAAAATCTCACTTAATCAAAAACTTTGATGTTGAAGTAGATATTCCCACTGAATTTTAGCAATCTTAAAAAATCTATGCACAAATAGAAACAGTGAAATTGTCATACAAATTATAATTTAAAAGTAGAAGGTGAGGGAATAAAGGTAAATCTATTCCATTAAAAGGGTGGTTTACTTGGCAGTATTAAGACTGAAAAAATAGCTTTCCTAAAGCTCTCAAGTTTTCAACATTTTTTCTCATGGATTCAGTACTTCTTGACTCAATTTCAAGTATGCTTATGACCTCACAGGGCGTTGGTTTGGTGCAATGCAATAGCTGTCCAAAGTACTTTGTGTTTTTTAAAAATACAGTTATAGTAACATCGAGTTACAGTACCCATAATTTTCTCTTCTGACTGAAATCTCTCTTCTCCCTTATTTTAAACCAATTGAGAAGGGCTCTTGAACTGTAGTTATAAACAGTGACTTAGTTCTTTTTAGAGGTAGTGAGAATAATCTATGAGCAAAGTATTTTATGTGTCAGACTGTGGATTGTTCCCATTAAAAAAAAAAAAATTAAAAATCATGGTTCATCTGCTTAAGTGCAGCCAGTGTTGATATGGAAGAAACAGTATGCAACTAAAGTTCTTGTCTTGAAAATGAAGCATTAAATTGATATAGGCATTGCTTATGTGTATCTGAAAATATTGTTGAAAATGGAAGGAAGAGGTCTTATGGAAAACCTAGAAGGATTGTCATCCTTATACTCTTAGGCATGAATGTTCTTTTTTTAATTATACAAGAGCTATGAGATTCTCCATATTGGTATCTTTAATTCCAATTTTTTTTCCCCCTGGAATTAAAGATACCGTGAAGTTTTTAACCCTAGACTGATCCAAGGGGATTTGCAAAAAAAAAAAAAAAGTAAGTAACAAAAAAAAGGAGTAAGAAAGGAGTAAGAATAGGAAGGAAGAGAAAGGCTTTTCTGGGAAGAGTCTTCTTGGAAATGAGTTGAACTTTGCTTCAAGAAGGTGGAAAGACAAAATCTTTTTTTGTGTGTGTGTGTTTTTTTTTTTTTTTCACTAAAAGTATTAAAAAAAAAAAAAAGAGAGAAACCTTCAGATTTTATGTGATATGCTTGCATAAGATAGCCAAGTGAAAGAAGTGTCTGCCTTTATGCCTTAATCAGGTGCCTATAAAACTCACAGTGTCTTTTTGATTAATTGGTTTTATGGTCCTAACATTTCATAAGTTGTTGTTAACTGAAATAATTAATGCTGATGTTTTCTTTCTTTTGTTCTTTTTTTTTTTTTCTTCTTAAATTCAGGTTTACCAAGAATGCAAGTAATTCGAAACTACAAAGGAATACCACAACCAGCGCCTCAGGATGGTCCCCCATTGCATATCCAGATTGGGGACACTATTGAACTGATTACAGGCGATGCCCACAGTTTATTTTGGCAGGTACTGTATTGTCTATGAAATGACTGTATTCCATTGTATATCCAGTCTCGGATAACAAATCTGTATTGAGAAATTTATCTTGTAATTTTTTGTACGTTTGGTACAAGCTAGAATTATTGGCACCTTGTGGGACTAATCCTATTGCTGTGCACTTATACATCCATCCGTTGTCTGAATCTACTGGAATTTGTCTTTGATATTATTTGTACCTATCATGTAAAATAATTTAGCTAGAATCTCATTGTGTTTAGCTAGCAAGAGTGGGGGAGGCTTTTTCCCCAGAAGCCTTGGAAGGAGATTTGAGTCTCTGTGAAAACTCATATGCGGTGGAATCTTTCAGGAAGTCTTTTGTAAACAAATTTCATGTCATAGACCACTCAGTAATGGTTTTCATAAGATTTGTATTTTTAGAATGCATATTAAGAAATGTCTTGAAGACATAAATTGTTATGAATATCCAGTTTTTATCCAAGAAGCTTTTTAGAATAATTTGCAGCTGACCTGCAGAACAGTAATGTAGAATGGACTTTTAAGCTTACTGCTGCTCATTTTAGAAATTCAAATGCTTGCAATAGAGAAGTATTTGTGATATAATTATATATTTTTTTCATTCTTCAGAGCATATCAAATAAATGCCACAAATTATTAAGCAGTGGTTAATTTAAGCTTTTGGTTAAATGTGATAAGATCAAATATGTTTTGACAGACATGAAAATTCTGCTCCATTAATGTTAGAGTAAATGATTTTATAGCAGTTACTGTGGTAATTCTCTAGTCAGTCAAAGCCATTTACACACATGAATCTACGTGTTATGCAATCTGAAAAACAGAATATTATTTTTTTTCTGTATGAAACAGCAATTGCTTTTCTGAGAGGCAATCTGACCTATCATAAAGACAAAGAGATGGTTGAGATAAGCATCTATTTATCCCATACATTCTCTTTCTGCCTCCCCCCTAGTAGCAATTGAAACCTAAACTTTTTTCTAAGAGAAGATTCGGTATGGGGAGTTTGATACCATTGCAAGTTAACTACTGTTCTCAGTAAACACCTTGAAAATAAGGATGTTCCTATAGTGACAATCATGCGTTCCTTTTAGCATGACTACTTTTCTTGTTCAGTCACGTGCAGGACTGGAAGAGCCATTCTGCTTCCCTAGGTGTTGCTTGTTTACTTAACGTTCAGAAAGAAAGAAAAAGGCTTATTAGGTAGAAAGAGAGAAGTTAATGTTTTCAATGTACATTCCAGATCCGTAAGAGTAGTAGTAGTTTCAGGTGTAATAGTGTACCTTTTAAAATGGTCTTATTTTTATTGTAGATGTGAATTCACGTTTCTCTTCTGAGCTTGGCCTCAATAAACTGGTGCCTGCTGAACTCAAGGGCAGGCTTTCAGGGATGCCACAATTCCTACCCTGAGATATAATATAATTCTAGTTTTGCAGGTTTCCATTACAGTTACCCACCAGACAATCATATTTGTCGAGGATGCTAAAAGAATACAAATGTATTCTGAGTTATTCTGAGCTGATTCTTTCCATTCTCAAAAACAGGTTTTCTTTCATGCATATTAAACCCATATCAAGAAATTACTTTTACAGATGTCCTTTGTAATGCTTCATTAGTTCATAGACCTGATATAAACATCCAAAAGGCAATAAGTATGTTGTAAGTGTACTTCTGAATTCTCCCTCAAACACAATTTCAGATTTTTTTTTTTAAATTATTTTTCTATGTTGCAGTCTAAGGACAACCTACTGGTGAAATGATGTCATTACAGGTTATGGTATAAAAAAAACCTAGTTCAAGTGAAACTAGTATGTAATCATTCTTTGCCATGTAAATATGGAGCATAATCTCATTTGGGAAGACTTTCCTGGAAATCTGAGAGTTATAATTACAACTAACAGATGAGAAATAGCAATCTAATGTCTTTGTTGCAAGTAGTTACCTCTAGCAAAATTGACAATAATAATTCTAAGACTTCCCAGGTTGTTAGGTGATGTGCCTGAAAAGTATAATGGGTGTTGTCTTCTGTAAAGTATATTAAAGGTGTAGAAGGTAGAAGAAGATGAGCTTTTTCATCTTTGAGAGATGGGGAGTTTAGAGCCAGCTAATAGGAACTACTCTGCATGGAGAGGATGCAAAAAAAAACCCCTTTTTTTGCTGAGGAAAGGCTATAGAATATGATTTCTGCCTACACAATAAAACAGTGCAGGTAGTGTACTTCAGAATAAATAAAGACATTGAAAGAAATGAGTACTGAAAGTTCAGAGAGAACATAGACTTCAGTGTCTGCAGGCTGGGGAGAGAATTAAGTAGGAAGGAAAGAGTTTAAGCTCTTCCTCAATCAGATGAGAGTCTGACACAAGGGTCTTAATTTATATATCAGAAAACTTCTCTGTTGAATGATTCCTAAGTCATATGTGAGAAGAAGTGTATCTGGATTTTCCTTTTTTTGCCATGTTTGCCTGTTCAGGGAATTTCTCAGAGATGAGTGGAAATTGGGCGGATGGTCCCAAGCTCTCTGTAGATTTTTTTTTTTATTTTTTTTTTTTTTCCTGCTTTCCCTGAAATTTAAATAAATTCAGTAGAGGGCCTGTCTGAACTGGGTCTTGAAACTGCTTTTGTCCTAGTTTGGTGCATTTTTCCATTTAATGCTGATGCTGATTTTAAATGTTTTTAAAGGGAGAGATTTTTAATTACTTTACCTGAAAATACCAGTAATTTTTATTAATTTCTTATTTTTGCTTCTGTATATTGCTAGAATAAATTGGGAAGGTAATTCTACTGTGCAGCCTTGTAGAATGTAGCAGTTAATTAGTAGAAGACCAGTTCACTTTTATAAATCCATAAAATGCAATGTCATGGCTGTATATAAGGCTAGGATTTTCTGTGTCCATTAAAACATGCTTGGTTTGTTTGGGAACATAAGAGTCTTATCTTTGAGGATCTCATAGAAAAGTCACGTTATCATTATTAATGGTAGTCTGTATTGCTTACTGAACACATTTTTTTTTCTGTCTGTTTCACATATATCATATAATCTGTCCTCCATGGCATTTCACTCTCTGACTGTGGCTTCACCTCCTGCAGGTTGTGGCAATCATGTCTTGCATAAATATTGTAGCAGCTATGACTTTTCTGGAGAGAGGCTTATTTGCTCTGATTTCTTGCTGAATATGGACAGCATTTAGTCGTGGTTCTTACAACGTGTTTACCTCTAGCAACAATGTTTATGATAGATAAAAATAAACTGGGCTTGAATTTAGAATTACCTAACATCTTATGAAATACTAGAGAGGTAGCACTGTAAAGGTGCCCTTTGAAAGTGAAAACTTCCAGAGTGGCTTTTTTTTTCTCCTCTGTATTTTATTCTGATTCATTTCTCTCCTCAACAGACAATTTGTAGTAAACAAACAAAAAAAATGGATGAAGGATGCAAGAACTAATAAACTTTTAGCTGTCCTGGATTCCTTGTTCAGTGTGAGTCCACTGAAGTTAATGGGCATTGCTCAACTAAATAGAAGGGAGCAATCTGGAAATTGACAGCAAAAGTGTCAAGTGGCTTCTGAAAACCTGTATCATTAAAACAGGTTCAAGAGTAGTGAACCAGCCCTATTCTTGACGGGAATGTAAGTTAAGGAAATAGTTTGAAGAGTTTCAGTGAAGAGCTTCTCATAAATATATGGAAATGCATGTGCACATGTTCATATATAACTTAAACATAATTCAGTAGTATATACATAGTGTAAACCGGTTCTGTCTAGTCAGTGGCCTAAGGTTTTTTTAATAACATTAAGCCTTGACACGGAGTGTGCAAGGGAAATGAAATGCTTACCAATCAAACAGTAAGCAATTAGCAGACAGGAAATGTTAAATAGCAAGAAATGATTTGTGCAGCAAAGCATGATGGCATGATAATTTTGCTGTTAATCATGATAAGTTGATGGATAGATCTTAAATTTTAAAACCATTGAATGACAGGTTAGTTTCTTGTATGAGCAACACCAAGCCTGATGTGTTTAGCTAGGATTTCTAAAGGTGAACAAATTAACCTAGTATCCAAAGCACATTATCAAATTATTTATACCAGCTCATTATCTACAGAATATTTTAATGTGAGCACTTCCCTTGGGTAAACTGAAATAAATCAAAGCCTGTTATGTTTAAAGACTTTGTTTTATTTAACTAGCAAAGCTGCCTGAATTGACCTTATGTTAAAGCTTTTTTTTTTTTTTTTTTTTTTTTTTTTTTTTTTCAGAAGGCAAAGCCTTTCTGGGGGTTGTTTCAATGCTTATTTTATGTTTGTCCTTTTGCAAGCTTGGTACTGATCACAGCACTAGAATAGGTTCCTTAGTGATGGCAGTGATATTTTTCTATGACAAGAGAGTTCATCCAAGTGGCTATTACTACTTTCACTTTTGGTTTTGAGATGTTGTCCATAGAATGTATACTACACCTGCAGACTTTCCTTATCCAACAAAACAACATGTCTGTGTGTCACAGCATCTTCTGATAAGTAATGACATCTAAACAAATTGTAGATAGTTGTATGTGCAGATGCTCCTGTGCAAGCAACAGGGGAGTATTAATGCTGTCTCATGTTAGTATGTCCGTTGATTATGTAGTATTTTGCCATTTTTAATTTCAATAAACGTTTAGTGTCCTTCAGAAATCCTGTAAGTATCTAGGCTGTATTTTTGACCTGAAGGACATAGCACATAGAAATATCATGAACATTATGAAACACTAAAGAACATTTGAAATTACATACTTTTTTGCACTGTCAGACTGTACACGTTCATCTCCATCCCTGAGCTCTTCAGATTTTTATCTTTGGCTGATTTCTAGTTGATATACATTGAATGTGTTTCATCATGTATTTCATCTTCTTTTAATTAATATGTTTCTCACGAATAACGGTGGTATGTGTGGGGGCACGTACAAGAGTTTTTAATTGTGTTTCTTCAAGTGCTCTTTCTCATTAATATATTTTTTTTTATTGCTTGTTCTTCCGTTAACTATGGTAAACAGAGATCATTAAGATGGGAGACTTTTGGAGCTCTGTTAATAAATTCAGGTTGTAATTAAGAAGGATTCACACCTTGAGGTAAATGCAGTATAAGGATATGAATTCAGGCAGACAGTAGGAAAATGCTCCACTTCTAACTTTTTATGTTGTAGATGTAAAATAAATAAATAAATAAAAAATTGAGATTATAATGCTAAGTACTTGTTCTTTCTTTCATTGCCAAATGCTGTTAGTATATTACAACTCAGGCTCTGAGTTCACTTTCTTGTGTTTTATTCCGCAAAACTTCCAGGCATATAATCTATAATTATTAGTTAATTACATAATTAAAAAAATACTATTGAATAACATTTTATTAGATGAACATTTTTATTTTAAGGACTTGCTTTAATAAAGTCTTATCTTCCTAAACCACTGTGAATGTATTGTTTACTGTTAATCCTCAGGTCTCAAGAATGGATTTTTTTTTCTAGGGCAGAAATCTAACGACGGGAGAACTGGGCTTCTTCCCAAGTGATGCAGTAAAGCCTAGCCCATGTGTACGTATCATTTAATTGTACTTGTTGTCTTACAGGAAAATTGCCTAGTTTGTGCCAGCACTTTATTAATCTTAGCTTGTCTAAGTTCCATTATTTCTAGATCCTTTGTGTTTTGTGGTGTTCAATATTGTTTATAGCATAGCATTCTAATATTTTCAGTTACTGGATTTGAGTTGTGCGTGTCAAGAAAACATGTTTGAGAGGCAGGTTTAGCTTTTGGGAACGTTAATAAATTGAATTGTCTTAAAGTGTTTCCAGGACATGGGGTAAACGTATTTTACATGAAAGTGCAGTTTCATCCTTCCCCCACAGCAAGGTGAGAATGCTACGATTCTAATCTATTCCCCAGTCACTTTGGGTTAGAAAGAGAGATTACACCATTAGTAGTGAGTTTAAAAATGGGTGATACTAAAACAAAATATTGAATTTAGGCTACTTGATTAATTTCATCTATGTATGTTCCTAGTTGCTTTTATTTCATTCAAGGATGTTCCACAATGTGTGCTCAAGACTTCCTATATGGGTGCAATGACTGCTTTAAAATGCTTCGTCCTTGGTCCTTCATTCTGTCCTATATAATGCTGCACATCAGATCACTATTTGTTCTTTAACTGAGATAATTCATGCACATCAATAACAGTGATGAATCATATTCCTTTCTTTGAGACAGCTTAAACTTTTTAACTGGATTCACAAGTTTGACTTATTATTGAAATTCCTTTCATTACAGCAGACAAGATGCCACTTAAATGATTTATAAGTAGCTGGCATAATCTGTTACTGGCTGCATTTTCTTATGCCTTTAAGGCTTTTTTTGTCCCTTCGTTTTTAAAGCGAATATATGTCATTCTAAAGAATAAATACATTGAGATATCTTGAGTCATCTTTAGTACCATATGTTTTAAGAATTTTGTTCAAAGGGGGATGCACGTGAGTTTTTGTAGGCACAAGATATGCTAAATTGGGTAATAGAACAGATCTGTAATTACGTTGAAAATTTTATATGAGCTTAAATATGAGCTTAACTTCCTTCTCCCACTCCTTGCTCACTACAAAATATGCGGATTTCTTGCACCATACAAAAATAAGTACCAGTGATACTGGGTGTGCTATAGATTGGCTTTGCATTCCTCAGGGCATCCAGTCATACTGTACTATCACTGACAGCAACCTCCAGCATTTTAGGGACCATCCCCCCTAGCATTTTAGGAATGACCACTATGCTCTAAAATAAAAATATAATAATATAAAAGAGGAAAAGAGGAAAAAATAATAAAAGAGGAAGTGGCTTATTCAGTCTTATGAAAAATGCTGTTGGGAGTGTTGTGAAAATTGCTTTCTAGTGATAGAACTTCCTGCTAAATTCAAAAATATACTACTATGAAGAGTGTTGAAAATAATACAATTTTACGGAGTGAATAAATATTATTCATGAAATGTAACCAACCAATGTCATGATCAGACCAAAAAGATAAATTGATACTTCACCGCTATTAACCTGGAAGGATAAAATATCAGCATCTTATTATGACAAATGATGCAGATAAAGATATTGAAACATCAATCAGATTTTTAACATGCTATAACATTTACTATTATTATTAAGTCTAGCAGTCTTTACAACCAACTGATATAAAAATGCCCGGAAACAGTTTGAAATATATATATCAAAGACTTTGGAAATGAATGTTGAATGAAGAACTGCTGAGCTTCAGAATATATATTTTCCAGACTTTTCACAGATGTACCTATAAACAATTTCTTCCTGTTTGCAATAAGCAGTATATGTCAGCACCACAAGAGCAATGCTTGGTCCTTCCTAGTTCTGCCCCAGTTTCCTCATTTCTGTTGAGGCAGTGGTTGTATAGCACTATGTGAGCAGGGAGCTTTGGGAATAGCATTTGATTTTACTCTGTTCGTGACAGTGAAATTGTGCATTTGAAATTAATGAAAAGGACTACCCATCTATAGTTTGCCTACTCTAAAGTGTGGACTTCAAACTGGCTTTGAATTTTAAATATCCTTTCCAACTTAGTAGGGCTAGTTGAGAAATCAAAATATATGTGTTTTTCACTGTTCTTTTTTCTTCTGTTGCTGAAATTACTTAATTAACCTTATGGCAGGTAATGCAAATCTTTCAAAGTGCAATTTTTCTGTAGATGAAAAATATATTATTATCAAAATATCTTGCAGCACATCAAGACTCTGTAAATACCCAGTTGGCCTTTGGATGTTTCATTTGGTTGCTTCACAAATATATGTCTCACAGGAGTTCTTTGTCAGCGTGTTCATATTCTGTTACTTTTTTCCCCCAAGTCTCATATTTAAAGACAGAAATGCGTGATTAACACTATTGGTAGGCTTAGTGATAGTGCCGCTGCTACTGACACTGGCAGTACCTAGCTGTGTTATGCCCTTACACTTCAAAGGGGTTTGCGTGCCACCAGCAGTATGCTACTACTATTTGTGAACCCTTTCTCTGCGTTGTTAGGGATTAATGCATGTGTTTGTTCTTTCTTCTTCTTTTTTCCAAAAATTAGACTATCTTAATTACTGTTTTAATACCTGGACAGATTTACTGCTGTGCAAGCTGAGCATGTGACCACATTTTTTTTTTATCACAAAACTTTGAGTTCTACAATAGTGCCTGCATTGTTTTTTAAAGAAAATGTAGATTTAGGGCCAATTGTCTAATTCACAATTTTAACATAAATATCTTAGATTGAGAGGCATTCAAATGGATGGTGATGTGTTTAGTTTGAATGAATGTTATGTTAAAAGCAGTATGCAGAGCTTTGTGAACTAAGAAAATTTTTGTTCATCTGAAGGAATTATGTGCTTTGGTTCAAGGTCAGGTCGAGAGACCTGATTGAAGACCTGGCAGATATCATCTGCTTATATCTACTTGTTACTTAACATACAAGCTTGTATGTATAATGTATAATTTCAATTATCTTAGATTGGTAGACCTGTATAGTATCTTTCTGAGATGATCTGTGTTTGGAAGTCTCTGATGAATACAGACCGTGTATATTAAAAATTGTAAGAATGACACTAATTTTGTAGTATTATATTCTAGAAAACAAAATAATCCATGATTCTCTAGAAGAAAAAAAAATCATTCGCTGATCTAAGATTGTGTGGCATCAGGTTATAAATCTGCAAAGTGTATGCTAAGCTTCTACTAAAATGAGTTTTTCAGCACCTTGCAAGTTATTTTAAAGGAGTAGTAATACTGATGTATCAGACAACAGTGAGAGGTGGTCAAGAAGGAATGCTGATTATCACGGATGTTTCTATACTGTGCTTATTTTTTGCATATATTAACATTATCTATGCATATGCTTATATAAACATATAACAGTCATTTTGCAAACTGGTGGTAGTTTGCTTGATTTTTAACATTTAATTCCATACTTAATAAAATCCACTGCAGGAGTAAAACAAAGTACAAAGATATGAATGAAACTATGCGATATATAATCCATGGATTAATTTTATCTCTCCCTGGAGATTATATACTACATTCCGTGTAGACAGTTTTTTGAAGGCCACGTAATCCTGGAAACACAGAGTGAATTTTGTGTGTGTTAATATACATTTGTGCATTTTAAAGATACTTCTCAACAATATGTTCCATGAGATTATTTTTTGTATGAAACTTAATGTAGGCACTAACAGAATAAAAGTGACAATTCTGATTTTTTTAAAAAAGTGTGCATATACATGTGTACATATTTATATAGATGAATGTATGCATGTAATATATGAGCAATGAAATTATCTGTCACAGCAGCATTTAAGTTAAAATATTATGTTACTTTCAGAACAGCATGTAATATTTGCTTCTTATTTTAAGTTTCTTCAAATGAAAACAGTCTTTCAGACTAGACTATTTCTTTTTCCTTGTTTCTTGTGGATGTTGAATACTAGTTCAATACTGTCTCATTTGTGTGTTGACTACAAAAGAAATCCTGATGTGCATTCTCTTATATTTCCTTTGTCCTAGGTTCCTAAACCAGTTGACTACTCATCGCAACTGTGGTGAGTCCCTCTTTAGTCTCACAAGAGTCTCTTTCTAAAAAGTAGTCATAAAAAGATTTCTGCTTAATGCTTATTACAGTTTAATTTGTGTTGGTTTAACTTTTCTAGGCTTCTTAAAATGCATTGTGTAATGGTTTGGGGAAACAACACCATAGATTGTCTGAATGAAAGCATTTATGATGTAACAATGTGCTTTATGGTTTAGACGTTCTGTTTACAAGTCTGTAGCTGCATAGCCTTAGTCCCAGGGGTCTGAAATGGAACAATATGAGACATGTGTAATATGAAGCATGCAAGTAGATTTTATGTGTTAAGTGACTAAAGAGAAGGATTAATTTTAAACACGTTTTGTCTCCTGAATAAATTTGCTTTTCCTTTAAAAAAAAACAAAGAAAACTCTAAATAAACAAAACTATCAGCCCTGTGAAAGGACAGTGTATCAAAACTACACCCAGTGCTGGTCTGGAGCGTGTGGAGTGTAGTGAGTGACCTCTTTTCACTAGAATTCACCAGACCCTGGAAAACATGTGCTAATTCTAAAAGAGCAGATTGATCATCACGTGTGCTTTCAGTAGTTTAATACTTTGTCATTTGCAGATGAGTTCTGATTTTCTCTAGCTTGTCTGAAATGGAATCAGAATTGGAACAAAACAAACGTGTATTTTTCAAAACAATCAGAATAGAATGTTTAGTATTATAAACTGGTATTTTTACTGCAATTCCAACATTTGCTGTATTTATAATTGTATTTAGAGAAAGCGCATCACTGGGATAAGTCTTTAGTCTCTAAGGTTTTGTGATGCTTAACAGAAAAATGACTTCAGGCTGAAACTCGCTGTAAAGTCTTGTACTCTGTGATACATTTCAAACACCTTATGGTAATGCATTTTGCAGAGCAATGGTCTTTCATGTTGACTAAATTTTGACTGATATCTAAAATGGTAAAATAAGCGCTATCTAACTGTAAGCTAGGTTACTTTCCACCTCCTCAGTTAACAGTTCTGTCTCTGGTTTTGTACATAAATATTTGCAGACAGCCTCTCATGAAGTGCCATTTGGAGTAGGAGCACAAACCTGCTCATGCGAACAGACAGCAGTATCATTGACTTATCTATTTTAGCTTTCAAGTGCCAGCAATAGATCTTTCAAATTTGACCATATAAGGCTGAGTATTTTTTTGTGTGTGTGTGCGTGTGTATGTGTAAGTTTGGTCTATCCATCACTTTTTTAGCTATAAGAGCTTATTAGTAATTATGTAACCAAATAAGTGTTCTGAAATTTTGTATAGGTCGTCTTTGACCTGGTGTTACTAGCATTTGTCTCTGAGGTGCTGAAGGCAGTAGTCATTCAGCTAATGCTAAGGCTCAGTTTCTCCAACAGATATTGTATTTGACAATTTCTAATTAAGAACTTCCCTAACCTGATTGCAGATTTTCTTCACGCTTTATTGAAAGATTTAGAAGTAGTATTCAATTCTAATTGATGTATTTTTAGATTATCGTCTCAGGAAGAGTGTTGAGATACCTTTGGAGAGCTCATAGGCAATTTTTGTCCTCTGTGTTACAGGTTTGCAGGAGCAATGGAAAGATTGCAAGCAGAGAGTGAACTTATTAACAGAATAAATAGCACTTACCTGGTGCGACACAGGACTAAAGAGTCAGGAGAATATGCAATTAGCATTAAGTAAGTGGGATATGTCGTTTTAACTTATGACTAGATAGCTCACTACATGAGACCAGTAAGGGAAAAAAAAAATATTTATGCAATCACACAGGGCATGTGGGATTTATAGTAGGAAGTAGCAGTAGTTTTTTGATGCTGATGTAAACAAGTCCAAAAAAAAAAAAAAAAGGCATTCTTATGTATTGGGTAAGACTAAGCAAATATTTACAATTTAATATAATCTTTTAAAGTGAGTAAGATACACTTCCATTGACTTCAGTGGAAATTTGTTGAAAGTCTTAGCATCTCAGATGTTTCAGTTTGTAAATTTCATCATTTTGAGGGTCTTCTTTGCTATCACATTGATTATCAAAATGAATAGAGAAGAAAACAATGTGTGGGAATTCCTGGTTAGAGTGGCTAGTTACAACTTCTTTTCAGAACACAGATTACCTCTTCAGCTGTAGTTGAATAAATATATTTTTTTAATTAGATGTCAACTTTGTGTTGACATAGATGTGTGTTTTGTCTTAAGAATTTATTTGGATAATGTTATTGGGGCATGCCTTCAGGTAACTATTGATTGCCCCTGATTAAAAACACATTTATATTCATAAGTTATTCATTGCCCACAGGTACAATAACGAAGTGAAACACATCAAGATTTTAACAAGAGATGGCTACTTCCACATTGCAGAAAATAGAAAATTTAAAAATTTAATGGTAAATATTGATTAGGCTTTTAACAATGTGTGATTTCTGTGTAACTGTTGCTGTTCAAGCGTGTGCTACTTTGGTATGTGGAAATGCAGAAGGATGAGAGATTTGAATTATGTCCATATCTACAAATAAAGTATTTCTTGATTCTTAAGGGTTATGCTTAAATCATGGTGACATGCTTAAAATTACATATTTATATTTAGGTACGGAATGTATCCCTTACAGTGGTGTAGACAGAGGAGGAATTTGAGTCCCACTTTGAATGCTGCTTGCTTACAAATGACTGTTTCTGTTGCCTTGGTAATTTGAATGATACGTGAAAGAAAATTTGTTTGCAGACAGTGTAGCTTGCCTGCTGTGCTAATGTCAGATAACAAAGCCCAAATAGTTCTTATTCTCCTGGCCTTCCTGCTTGCTTTTAGTGTCTGGCAGTCTCTGACAATGGACTGTGAAAAGCAGGTGTAGATTTTTCGTAGCTTTAGAATCTACCTTAGAAACAGTCTACAAAAGCTTACAGCATTCTAGAGTTTGCCTCAGAAGATAAGCCTTGGACAGTTATCAGAAATGTGTTGCATGCTTTAGATCTTGGGAGTCATTTTGTTGGTTGAAGTTAATAATGATCACGGAAGGTTTTATTTTTCTTATTTTTATTTATTTATTTATTTTTAACTAGAAGGAAATAAGTGAACATGGTTCTATTTCCTTATTTTAACCTATGCTTGCTTGGTCAACTCTTCATTTTGGGAATCAGGATGTAACTATGTAGAATGGAATGACTGAGTAGGTACTGGAAAGAGGGAAGGATTTACAATAACTGCATTACTTTTTGATTGCATTTCTGAAAAGTGAAATCCCACAGTTGAAGCATCATGAATCAAATGAAATATGTTTGTTTATAATTGTCTAGTCACTTTTAATCTTATTCCAGGCTCTGTGTATGAACTGTATGATATCGTCACTATTAGAACAGATTCAAAGCTAAGAGACAGTGACAGGTTGAAGATATGAAAGGAAGAATATGAGCTGTCAGTATTTGGATACATACTGTCGTCTTTCGAATAGTAATTTAAGTAATTTATCTCCTTGGTTACATAAACTGTTTGAGCCAGTTTAATGAATAAGGTTAGAATTGTAGATTTTTTGGGGGGTTGGGCTCAAGGAGTATATGAACTGCTGGTTTTTTTTTTTTTTAATAGTGTTCACTCTGAGGAGGAAAAACCAACAGATTTTAATAGAAAAGCCTTGAAATTTTTACATGGTCCGTTTATCTACTCAGTCACATTTCTGTTATTTTATATACAATACTTATATGCTTTGTTGAGATCTGTATGCATATCAGTTCATTACTCGATGAACGTCACTTGTCATTGTAGAAGAAATTTGAGAAAACAAAGGCAGTTACCATTACATGCTTAATGAACAACTAACCTTGCCTTCTGCTTGACCGGAAAAGCAAATACATGCTCAGCCTTGCTCAACAAAGTGATGTGTTGATTCTGACTATAAAGCTGTTTAAAACAAAACAAACAAAAAAAAGGCATGTGCATCATTGTCATGAAAAAGTAGGTTTCACTTTATAAATGTGTTCTGTACTTCAGGGTAAGGGTTAAATTACACAGTTAAGTTGCAATATAAAAGCAATCAATATTTATTAGGCTATTTGATTTCTTAATGTATGTGCTCTGTGGGATCATAGCAGTGACTTTATTTTATTAAACTATCTTGGACTGTAAACCAGAATCATGAAAAGGATATGATTTCAATTTCCAATGACAGTGTTTTCCCTTCTGCAAGGAACTTGTAGATTACTATAAGCACCACTCTCTCAAAGAAGGCTTTCGAAGTCTGGATACTACACTTCAATTTCCATACAAAGAATCTGAAAACACAGTGGGACAGAGGGGTAACAGAGCAGGTGGCAACTGTGAGTATTACAAATTTATGTACTCTTTTCTGTCAAGTATATAGAAAGGGCTTTAGCTAGGAGGTTTTTTGTTTTTTTTTTTTACGCTAAGCAGATTTGGGTCTGTCAGGAGTTTTATCAGTATGTCTAGCAAGTTTGTCTTTCTGCTAAACTTTAAAATCTCCTTGTTATTCAGTATTCTATTAGGAATGCTGATGAAAAGTTGAATTGCATCCTGCTTAATTTTTTTGATATTTGCATGCATGTAGCGAAAGTGCTAATAAGCATCTGTGACAATTTCTAATCCTTGCAAAGGGATTTAAGTAAATCAGCCTTATAGTGTAGCTGTGTGAACTAGGATCTCACTCATACCACATGAATTTCTCAGATAAACCTAATGCTACTGCATTTTCTGTATCATAATTTTTTTATGTTTTGCTTTTAACCTTAGGTGTTTATTCAATGCCTGTCTGCGTCTAAAATGATTTACTGTTTACAATGTAAATAGCAGATTAAAAGTTTTGAAGTTTAGAATTAGTCTGCGGATGTTTAAAATTAAAATGGTATCCTTTTTTTCTTTCTTTTTTTTTTTCCTATTGCAACATAAGTGGAAACCAGCATGATTTCTAAAATTCTAATGATAAAAATAACCACATGGCCCATCTCTGGAAAATATATAACATTCCTGTCAAAGAGCAAATCTTAGATTTGCAGTTCTGCAAACAATGGTTGATAATAACAGCAAAATAAAAATTAATGGATTTTAACAGTATGAAGACTCCCATGAAGGACCATAGGGTCTAGTCTTGGTGATGATGAAGCTGGCGGACCTATTTTCATCTGCTGTGTCTGTGAGCTTCTGTTTCTTTGCTTCTCTCTCTGTTCCATAATATTTCAATAACTTCAGAGACTTGCTTCCTCTCCTAATTAGAATGAGGATAATAGAGAATAAATTATTTTAAGAAAGTAGTGTATCTCTGTGCATTTCATTTACTCTTTGTCTGAATTCCTCTTTATTCTTTTGTTTCTGTTTTCTTTCACTGCGTCTCAGGAGTTTGGTCTGGTATGCTGTCTCAATGCATATCTGTTCTGGGTGAATTTGTTCAATTTTTCCTTCTTCTTTAAGCTTATGATCTCCCTTTACTTTTCTATTGTCATATCTTGTGCTTTTCTTCATCCTTTGCCTCTTGATAGCACTGAGGCTTTAATTGTTCAGACAGCATGCCTTGCTTAGTTTTCTTTGCTTTTGTTTTGGTTATTATTGGTTGTAAGCAGAAACACGTTATTCTCTTCTCTTAGACCAGTTGAGATACAGCTGTACTGTCCACCAGCTTATTACTCTGCAACAGCATTAGTTCAATCACTTCACACTTTGCAGGATGCAGGAAGCATAAATGGGGGATATTCTCGTTTTAGTCGAAGGGGTGAAAAAGTGCATCTGATGTTACGTAGGATACTGGTGGGAACTGACAGGTTTTATTTTAAGCCAAACTGATCAAAAAAGTCTCAATTCTCAGACTTGTGTGAAACTTAATAGATATCCATAGTTCTGTTCCTACCTAGGTTGACTCTGGGCGACACTTCAATTAATAGATGTGCCAATTTTCTTTTAAAGTGTCAGTATGCTCCTCTGAGGGTTTTCTTTTTTCTTTTTTTTAAAGAAAAATTTCCTTAATTAGCAGCCTGTCTGTGAGTCACGCTGCCCAGTTTTACATCAGTCCTGTTAATTTTTACCAAGTTGATGTTAGAGTAACCATATCGCTAGGAACAGAGAACCTCGTGGGTTTTCTATTGAAGTTTGTACATTTTTGGCTGAACTTCTGTTTAAGGAAGGAAACAAGTAAGTGAAGGGACAGCAGTTGCACTTTTGGTTTTAGTTCATTTCAGCCCTCAGTGTGAGCCTCCATGTAGATGGTTTCTTTGACCTTTGACCTCTGTAATCAGAATGCAAAAAACCTCACTGTAATTTGTTGAAAGGGAACCAACCAAGTCTGCCGCATTGAAGAAGGGCACTTGACCATTTTTTCGTCTCTGTGATTATTTGATGTCATATTCACTACATTTTATCAAGCATGAGGTTGAAGCTCGTGACTGCAATAGACTTTGGTGATTTGTAGCTGAATTCGAGTGGATTTTGGGTTTCACCTTGGTATTTTTTACTATGCTATTCACATGACTGGATCTGGATTTTTTTAATGAGGATATCTTTTGAAAAGGCATCAACTTACTATTTGATCAAAGCAGTTGGTTTTTAGCATATAGAATCAACAGAATAAGTGGGAAAGTGTTTCTGAAACACATCTAATAAAATACTGAAGACTTGGGGAAGGTTGTCATTTCTTGCTAACAGTCTTTGAGCTGTTTTGAAGTTAATTTGCAATACCAAATTAACGTTGTTTCACAGAACAATGCAAGAAGGATTGTGTTATTTTTTTGTAATAGTCATGTTTTCATTTACCTATTGAAGGAAAGAAAATCATGTGGCATTTCAGTTGATTTTTAATTTTTGATATAAATCCTAACAAATCACTTTGTAATATCTTATATTGTCAAGGAATGTACTTCTTTCAGTAACTACGATTTTGTTTAGAACAAGATCTTCATGAATTCATGTCTATGAAGACAGTTAATTTTTCTTCCCACTTTAATTAGGAATTCTTATGGTCTTAAATAAGTCACCCACTCTTTTTTGATAGTTAACGCACACTTTTAATATGATTGGATTAACTGTTAGATGTTTACTTCTTCCAGTGTAGAAGTTAATTGAGATGACTTTGATGACTTTTGGAGAAATGGTACATTTGTTCTTAATTTTTCAGCTCCAGGGTTTTCTGAATGTACAATGATCAAATTGTGTTTTGTTCACAGAAAAATATTAACTAATACTAGATTTGAGGACTGGTTTTTACCATTTATTGAAAGTAAAAATTGAAGATTAGTTCACATTCTTCTGCAAAATAGTTCTTGGCATTTTATTCCAATTTACTGATGCTTTGCACAGTCATATTGAGAAATCTGGGTTTTTTTGGTTTTTTTTGGTGTTTTGTTTTTTTGTTTTTTGTTTTTTTAAACATAGATTTTAATGTACCTAAAACATGAGGCCAAACATTATTTGACTTTTTTCAATTTTAGATTAGGAGTAGATACATTATAAGGTCATGCTACTGTTGATAAAGTAAAATAAAGCGAGTGTCATCTCAGCTGTTCGTGAACAAAAGAATCTAGCCTTTCTTTTAATGGACAACACCAAAGGCTATCTGTAGAAATCTGGTAGGATTCCCTTGCCCATGCTAGTTTAACACAAAATCAAGCTTCCTGTTAAATCAGACGAAGAATTCTCATGGTATTAAGATATATGAACAGGACAGGAAAGGACCAACTACCCCTTTCGTAGCGCCTGAAGTATATTTATTCCCTCATGCTACTTTTGCTCATTTGTTTGGTGTAAAGGCGGTTAATTATCCCTGAGAATGGTGACACTAATTCATTAAATTTGCCTTTTTTGTTTGGGTGACATTTGCACACAGAACTATCACCTGGGGTTGCTGGCTCCTGTACTCAGGTAAATTCATGCATTCTCAGATAATTCATTCAGTTTTAGAAGCCAGAAAAGATCATCAACATGAAGGAACAGAGGGCAGTTTTTAGTGTGCAAGAGTCTATTGCTTTTGTATTACTGTTGTACTGACTCCTAGACTATAGATGTGAGAATACTGTATCACCTGTGTTAATTTTATTTATGCTGGCTGTTTCACTGTCATAAATGCATTTATTCTCATCCAGGTAAGATGCACAAAACCATATCATTACCTTTACTGTGGATTCTGTTTATTCCTTGCATAAAATAATTCTTGTTTTCATGGCTGCAAATAACCATTTTGAAGCCAGACAATTGTATTTCTTCTGTAGTCACCAGAATAAATTCAGAGAAACAGCTTATGTGATGAGTATAAGCCTGCTACATTTTTAAGGAACTGTATTCTTTAATAACGATAGGTATTTTGGGTATTATTTAAAGGTTAGAATATTATTTATCTAAATGAGAATGGACTTCAGCTTTCTAAGTGCACAGTAGGGAGCAATTGTCTCAACTTAATTAGTTTTTGTATGTTATGTAAAGATGAAAATCTGTTCATTGCTTCTTCCAAAGAGTGACAAAATGTGAGAATGTGACAACAAAATGTAGTTCCGCTTAAAGCCATTTCAGTACATTTTATCTAATTCTGCATTTAAAAATGTGGCGACAGATTACCCTAAGTTAGTTGGCAGTAGAGCAAATGCATTGGAAGTCTTTCACCTGAGTTAAAGGAATCCCCTGTTACAGGGATTAGGATGATGTACAGGTTCTGCCTAGTTGAAATTTACACTTTTTTTTGCTTGAGGATTTTCTCTTGAGTCAAGAGTGTAAAGATGAGAAGCACTGTTTGATCTTTAGACAGTGTAGTGTATCTGGGGAGTTCCTACTGATGTTAATGATTATCAGGGCAAAATGCATACTTTTCCCCATGCATGTTATGACATCCCATTTAAACTGGTGTTTAGACTGTATTCCTAATTGAGGGTGTGTGACTGTTGTCTTCCTAAGCTGAAGAGGAATTCTTATGTATGCATGAGTTCCTGCCTTTGTACTGTTATTAAGTAAGGCAAGCAAAATTAAGACTAAGAAAAGAACTTTGCTATATCTGAAAATATTTGCAAGAGTCTGCAGTTTTAATTTGCTTCTCTTATTCTTTGAAAAATGCGATTGTTAAAAATTAAATCATAGGTTAAGATTTTCTAGTTATTACAGTCAATTTCCTTCCAGACATCCTTAGTAGGGAACCTTAGTTTCCTTATTATCAATGACTTATATAGTTAAAAAACTATTATTTAAATCTTGTGCCAATGTTTCAATGTACTTTTGCTTTTCTCTTTTTCTCTTTCTTTCTCTAAGCCCCCTCTTTGTTCTGTGGGTTTTCTTTTGTAACTCCTCCAGACTTCAGCTTTGTTCCCCCTTCCTCCAGTCCTTTCTGGTCAGGTACTGCTTTACTGCTTTTATATTCTAAATTTGTTTCTGTTTGTTTCTGTGTGTCAATTGAGGGAAGGGACGAATCTCGTATTTCAGTTCTTCACTGAGTCCAAAAAGGAGTTTCTACATGTTATTCCTGAAGTGTAACAAGAATCGAACTCATAAACTTCTGAAAAAGCGAATATTTACAATAAGGGAGTTTGAATGCTGTTACAAAGCTCATTAGTTGCACCAGATTCAGTTGGTGATCAGTTGACTATTAATTTGACACGTAGCTGTGATATCTATTTTAGCGTTCTTGTTCAAATACACAAATTAAAATTTTCAGTGTTTCTTTGCAGATAAACATTATATTCGTCCCATCCCTGCAGCAAACTGTACTGCAGAAACATCTTAGGATACAGTAGTAGTTTTGTAGAAAATTTTTTTTTTTTTTTTTTAAGTTCTGCATTAATGTGGTCTATTAATTTTCCCCATTTTTTTCTGAATGTTTTCTTTATTCTCATTTAAGCTTCTTTATCTTTAATAAATGCAAACATTTAAAAATGAGATTGCATAAAGTGCTTGTAATAGTAGTAGTGTTAGTTTCACTTAGTGCACCAGTATAATTGTGACTTGTTTTGATCTCTGAGATGTAGTGTTCAGAAATGAACTGTATGGCTGGATAATTTGTAAGGGATTTTACTAGTGGCCCTTTGAGGAACATAAAGAAGGAGTCCTGCTAATAACATGTTGGTTCATCTCTGTGCGTAGGAGGACTTGTACGTTGTGGAAATCAGGACTGAGGCTGGTTCTTTCCTGGGGAAAGGGATGTACCTAACATGAATGAACCGAAATGTAGTCACTTTCAGAATCTGTCTAGAAGACCTGAATAGGCGATATGTTTTAGTTTTGTCCAACAGTGGTAGTATAATTTCTTAGTGCTCTGGGATAGATTCTGAAGGTTTTCCATAGCTCCTAGAAGAGAACCCTGTAGGGGGGAGCTCAACAGTGGGATGGTTTGTTAGCACATTGTGCTGAGAGTGCCTCCAGTGTGCAGAATGATTCATACTGTGATCTTCAATCGCAGGGTTCTTTGGTGCGCTTAAAATGTTTTGGCCCTCATTAGTGTGAGTTGATTTCTTCCATTCTCATCTCCTTATATATGAGTTGTTTGGACGACATATACTATTTTTCAGTAGTCACAGTACTGACAGAGAATTTAAACTTTAAGGCGCTATTTCAGTTAATGTTTGTTTATGTGGAAGCACACATCTGTTCTGATCTAGCTGTGCTCATGGCATTCAGCTGGAATGTCTGAAGTTCCTGATTCTTATTTTAATCAGTAAAGCCAAAGACAATAAGTTTTGGTACTCTGTAGTAGGAGAATATTGTCATATTCACCTTTAGAGTGAGGATAAGAGATGAAGCCTACATATGCTTTCAACAAATGATAATTATACTATTTTTTTTCCTATGAAAATCTGCTTTATTGGAAAATATAAGCTTAAAAAAAAGGTAATAGTTCAGTCTTGCATATCACAATATGTTTTATCAAGTAATTTTTTATAAAAGTATAAAACGATAAAGGAAGATGCTATGTAATTCTTTAATTAAGCTTATCTACCTGTTAGAATTTTATTTCATATTCTGATAGGCTACAATAAATTGCATGTTCTTAGTGACAATATCTTTTCAAAATACTCAGATTGCTTACATTAAATGAACAAATACTTATTTAATATTTTTTTTAAAGACAGATCTTCAGAAGTAGTTTACTTCTGCTGATATATGGAAGTTGGAAAGACAAAAAAATAATTAAGCCAGCTATTGAGCACTACCAGAGGTGCTGCATATGCTTGTGTAATAGAAATGAAGTGTGGTTAAACATTACAAGGAAATGTACATTGCTTCGAGGAGTATGGCAACTAACGTGCAAGAGCAACCTCTAGGGGGTGTGGTTGCTGGATTGCTAAGTGGCCATATCACAAGAAGGAAGGAATATCTGCTCACAGCTTTTGTGACAGTACTTCGATCCTTGTGGAATTTAAGCATAGGCAGAAATGTGGGTTAGGCTAGTCTACTGTAATCACATGGAGCTTCTTCAGTTTCCATCTCAGTTACTTCAACGCTGGACCGTGTTTCAACTGTTTTGAAATTCCTTTGCAGTTTGTCAATCTCATTATCAGGGAGAAATTTTTCCGATGTACTCTACTGTGAACTGGAGCTGACTACAGTTCCCTGTCTTCTCTTCCAGTTTGCAGAAAGGAAGGCTAAATTAAGCAAAACTGTATTTTTCTCATTCACAAATATGCCTCATTCACAAATCCGCTTAGCTCGGATTTCGGACTGTATTTCCTATTCATCCTCACAGTACTTCCCTCTTAATATACGAGGTATTTTTTTTAATCCTGCTTCCTTGATAGCTTTTTTTTCCCCTTTCTTTAATTTCTCATTTATGTTCTCCTGTAGGACACTTTCTTTCCATTAGTCTCTGCTGCTAATTCCATTCTTTCTCCTTCGTTATTCTCCCTGTAGCCATCATTTTTTCTCTGCTTCACACAGTTTTCTCCCTTTGCTCTGTACAGATGTCCTTTCCACATGCTGTCTTCCCTCAAGATTCATTTAGTTAAGAACAGCTTGGTTTTGAGACTTCAGGGCTGACAGTCTCTATACAAATTGTTTTGTGACTGTCACCAGAAAATAGGGTTAATATTCTTTCCAAAGCTAGCACCAGATAGTTTTCCTGTATTCCTTGATTCATCTGGCTTTTTTATATTTCTCACCATAAGCATATTTTATTTGAAAATAAAGGTGTTGAATTTGAAATTAGTCTGGAATCTACTACTTTACGCCATGAGTTTTTGGTGATCTATGCTTTATGATTTTTTTTTTTGGTTCCATATACATTTTCTCACTGACTTCACAACTCGGAAAACAATTAAAAGCCCTGCTCCTTTTTCCTCAGATCTGTACTTTCTTTTTCTGCCAGAATTTTCCCTCAGTATTTTTTCCCTTATTCTTCCGTATGTTTCTTTCCTTTCTAATTCTCTCCTTCCTTGTTTTCCCAAATTCACTCATCTTTGCCTTGTATTGTCGTCTTTCTTCCCTGATTACCTCCTTTTAGAATCTATAGTGATATCATGCTCCCCAGAATCACTCCCAGCAATGCTTCTCCACATCTGCCCATGGTATTGCTGCACATTTATAAATGGCTACTGACTCTACAATCAATAACTGCTTTCTTTTTTCTCCCTACAAAATGATTTCTGCCCATGCTGTGTTTTTTTCCCTGAAAAATTGATTACTGAAATCCTGATAAGGTATAGGATGTAGTATTGATGTCAGAGTCTAGACAAGTAGTGACTACAGATGACTTGCTTATGGGGGGAAAAAGTAATACATGGCCTAGATTTTTACAACATATTCATATTGTAAACACAAGCAATCACTTGAGATGCTAATTCTTTTTTTATTGCATCCTGTATATTCTGTATCAAGTATTTGATAAGCATTTTCCCAATATGCAGTCTGAAATGTTGGACTAAATTTTAATGATGTGGTATAAAAGAAAATATAATCTATACCTATATTGGTCTTCAAACAATTTGTTTTTTGTGATTTATTTAACTATAATTTAAATACAACATTTATTATTGTTGAGGGGTCAGGAAAAATCCTAAATAGAAGCATGTATGAAAGTGTCAAGATTTTCTAGCTCATATGCAATGTTTTGTGTTTCTGATTTAAAATAAAGGCAGTTTGCTGTGAACATTTAGTATTACTTTGTCAAAAGCATTGCAAAAACTAGAATCAAAGTGGTCTTTTTGAGGTGAAAAAAGTGATTTTATTTACAGTGTATGAAGTTATCCCTCACGACCATTTGATGAATTATTTTCAGAAGGAAGCTGGCTTGTGCTCATAAATAAATTCTACCTAAAAAGATTTACATTAAAAAACAATTGAAAAAGAAAATAGCCTGTATTTAGAACAAACAAATAAATAAAACTTTGGCCAAATATTCAAACTTGAAAATGCAGGAGGAGTACATTTTTCTTCTGAACTGAAGGTCTTAATCAAGAAATGAAGCCATGCCCTATTTGTCTCACTGGAACAGGTTTATTTCTCAAGTAAGGACATTTAACTTTGTAGTGAAGTAAAGATTTGAGAGAGAGGAAGTTGTTTCTCAGATGAGACTTTTTCTACATTGGTTATTTTTAAAAAATTCTATTACTTTTTCTGTGGCTGAAAATATCATTTCTTGACATTGACAAAAATCTTACAGACTGATGCAGGTTACATCTTTTGAATATTAATTTCACTGAAATCCAGGAAAAAATTAGCAGGTATTTTTTCCTTTGTTGAAAGATTTGTAGAACAATTTTGTAGTGATTTTACAGACTAAACTCCTGAAAACTGTTATTACATAAGCCAGTGCTTGTGTGAATTGTTAACGAATGCTCAGTACAGATTTGCTGTAGAAATGTTATTTTTTTTTTTGCCCATGCTGATGTTAGCTTCTGACTTTATGTACATTACTGTTTAACCTGGGAGTTGTTACTTGAAAGAACAGTACCTGATTCTGTTTGTTTTGCTTCATTAGAGGTGTAAACATAAATCAACTGTGAATGTTAATAATTCTTTTGGAAAGAAACTAGTGACCTGTAAAATATATTGATGCATGTATCTGGCAGCAAGTTCTATTATGAAGCACAAAAAATACAGTATTTTTCAAATGTATTTAGCAATTTGTGGAGTAAAGGTTAGGTTTTTCATAGTTCATCTGATATTTTTTTTCTTAAAATAAAACTACAATAGCTCACATAAGCTCTTCAACTTTTCACCACTCACCTACAATTGAATGTATTAAGTCTTATGTGCAGATGCTTTCACATTTGTGTGAAGCTGATGCCAGTGTATGTTGTCATGAAATCATCTTACATTTTACAGTAATGCTATCTGTCAGATAATTTGACAGAAATATCTGTCAATAAACTCTAATATCTACTTCTATTTCATTTCAGTGCTAAGTCCAAAGGTGATAGGCATTGCCATTGCAAGGTATGACTTCTGTGCAAGAGACATGAGAGAACTATCCTTATTGAAAGGCGATGTCGTAAAAATTTATACGAAAATGAGTGCAAATGGCTGGTGGAGAGGTGAAGTAAACGGAAGGGTATGTTTTTTTTCTTTCTCTCCTTTTGAATGACATTTTGAAAAACAAAAACCAGCAACAATAGGGAAAAAAAAGGAAAACAAAGAAGAAAACAAATTTTCCTACATCATGAACCTTTTGTATATTTAAGTTCACAAGAGGCAACATATTTTCGGAACTCTTTCCGGTTAGCTTTTCTCAGCAATTAATTCATTATTTTTATTTTTATTTTTATTTATTCAAATGCCTGCTAGGCTGCATGTTTAGGCAAGATTATACGTCTGGAAAATAACCAGGATTAATAGCAGAGCTGTAGTTAAACTTCCTTGAACTGTGTTGCATGGATTTGGGGGCGAGATCAGAACCTCTGGATCTGGTTGAATTCCTAGCGCTGGAAATCTGTTTGCAGATTGGCACAGAATGATTTCCACCTCACTGCCAGAGTACAATGCTGTGCAATGAGCCGTGTTTTTCTTAGGAGACTTATGCTTTTGATCTCTAAAAAAATCTGGTTGAGATTAAGTGCGATGTGCATTTATTCTACTTCATCATTTAGCAGTGATTTTTACAAAGGCACTTCATGCTGTACTCTGGGACTTGGATGGCTTTGAATTCATGGAATATTAGATCTGATCTAAGGCTATTCTGTTTCAGTCTTGTTATATGACTCCTTGATGCAGGTTAGTTTGGAATACTTTTTGCTTCTGTTTCCATGTTTCAAGGGCTGAGATGAGAGGTCAAAGGGCCTTTTTTTTCCTCTCCTGTTTTATGACTGAATTGGAGGAAAGTGGCTTGAGTGGAAACTGGAAATGGAAGTTGGAAGTCTGCTTGAAGTAGATGAGGGAGGATATACTCAGATTTAATGCCTTATCCATTTTGGAGAACTTTTTATGGCAGAAAAGAAGAAATATGGAGTCAGAAGAAATAGTGATCATCGTGTGTCCTTTACATGTTAAAGTAAATTTAACATCTCATTCCAGTGTAGCTACACACTTCCTGAAGAATCCCTCTTACAAACTAGCATTCTTTCTGCTAGTTTTCACTGCCTGGAATTGAGATCATAAGATCACTACTGTTTATGCAATCACATCTTCCAGTCATGTTTAAGATTTGGTTTTGAGCTCTTTCATCAATGTTAAATTGACTTAAATTGACTAAATGGTATAAATAAAAACTAAATGATAAGACAATAAATGACATTGCTTGCCTGTATATCTAACACAGTTGTTATTTGACACATAATTAATTTCAGAATGTAGATAATAGTATAAGTTATGAAGTATAAAGTGCTGGTCTAAGAATTCTAGTTGTGTCTCATTTAAAAGTCCTCTTGTCAAAAATGAGATTTAACTGCAATGGAATCAGTCACTTTTAACTTTGAAAGAGGATTCTTTGGACATGGCTGACGTCTATGAAATATTTAACTGCCCACTCAAAAGACAGCAGCATCTTGTAGTAAAAACTACTGAAAGTAGCAGCTTTTTTTTTTTTTTTTTTTTTTTTCTTAAATGCGTAGACCTCCAATTTAGGTAAAAGTTCCTTTTATTTTTCTAATTTTTATTTAAAGATTGAGGGTTTAGTCTCTAAATCATTGTATCTGTAATTTACTCTATTTATTTGCTTTGTTACTATGTTAACCAGGGCAGGTCAGACTAATTTCTGTGTAATAGTATTTTTAGTTACTAAAGAGAGACTTATCCTTGTTTTTACCTGGTTTGGCCTTTTAAAAAATGTTGTTTTTTTTTTTTTCTGTTTTCTTTTTCATTTTCAGGTGGGCTGGTTTCCATCTACTTACGTTGAAGAGGATGAGTGAATTAAAAACTTTTCTCTGCTGACCAGCAATTTCAGGGATTGTAGAATTTAATAACTTCAAGCATTAATGGTCTTGTTAAGTACTTAGGCAGCAGCATTTTGTCTGTCTGAACCTTCTAGTCTTATTGTTGGGATTTACAAAGAACTTTGTGTGAACAGAACCTTGCCCAGAGCTGTGCAAGAAACAACCTGCAACTTTGCTGTCACTGGGGATCAGTACAAAGTCCAGTGCTCACCTTCCCAGAAGATTTCAGGAAAACAAATTCCTTTATTCTGTTTTTCTGTTTTTCACCCTGTACTACACCATGATTTGTAGCTCTGGCTGAATGTTTAATAAGTCTGTTTTCTTCTAGCTAACATCTGTGATGATATGAGGAGATGAAGGCTTATTATTCCTTATCATTGTATGCAGAAAAAACAGTCATTCAGGTGGGCATGAAGTGGAGTCGATAGATTTTTCAAAATATCAAACTGTCTTACTTATCACCTTCTAAACAGTTGTACGCTAAAAAAAATCATTCTGAAGTAAATATGAATGTTGTAAACGGGAGTAGCATATATGTATGTGTAATTAGCTAACTGAATCCTTGAAGGTTTTGCCTAAATCTTCTAACAATTTGTTTGAAGAAGTCATTTCTAAAAAGTTTGGTGGCATGATATCGCTTGAAAAATTATCTGCAAAGTGGAATTCTGGGTTTGTTCTTTGTCTTCTCAGCTTTATTAATTCAGCAACTGATAATTTAAGTGAAACTTGAGGGTAATTATGGGAAGAGTCATTTTAAAATTGTAAGAATTAGCATTAAATAAATATTGTAATTCTATTGTATAGCAGGATATACTGATGCAGGATGATTTCATTTCTTGAGAACAAAATTGTATATCTTAATCTCTTGGATGATTCATATGAACCTTTTGATGCTTCCCACTATAAGCTGTTTTTTCTGGTTAGACAGGATCTTCTCTTCCTACTAAAATCACCTTTTGTGCTCTTAGAAGTTTAATGCAGAAGGAATTTCCAGAGTTCAGCGTGCCTGTTTCCCTCTTGTTTCCTGGGATGTCAATAGCAGGGCAGTGAGTGATCTTGTTGCAGTGTTGTGAATATCCTTAAGTAACAGTGGAATCCAGATTAGTTAGCTTGAAAGATCAGTCCTCAAAGTGGCATCTGCCCCTTGGGTGAAGCTGTTTTTTAAGGTATTTATGGAGTGTCAGAAGTGCTTTAAATTAAAAGAAATGTGGGTGATGCCTTCAGATTTACTGCTTGTAATATTTAGATAATTTCTAACTCATCTTGAAAACTTCAGAGAAAGTAAAGCTCTTTCTTTGCTTCTTCCTGGCCTCCTGGTCATCATGAAGAACCAAACACAGCACAGAAGATTGCAGTAATCCCCCTCTTCTCTGCAACCATCATATCCATCTGTTACACCTAGCATGTGCTGTTATGTGACCAGTTAAAAGCGAGGATCTCCTAATTAGAAGTCCTCTACTTGTTAGGTTCAGTTTTGCAGATGAAACTCTGCTGATGCTCTTAACTTTTCAAGGATTTACCTCAAAATTATGTGAACTGTGATTATGTTGAGTACATTGCTTGATGGAAAAATTCAGTGTTTGTAAATATGTACATTATGCATAAAACATTTTGTAAATGACCTGTACAGCAGTGTAGACTGAGATATATTGTATTTGATCATGTTTTGTCATGCAGTTTTACTGTCAGTTGTGAGTCTGATCCTATGTTCCCTAAGTAGATGAAGTTAATGCACAGTTTTGCCCTCTCAAGGGCTAGAGAAATGGGTTATAGGCCTGTGAAGTGTTTAGTGCTTTGCTGTCATACAGTTCTGAGAAAGAAGCAGTTTAATTCAGTGAGTTAAGGAATGCATCAGCCATTCTGGACAGCTTGTATTTAGAATCATTTTGAGTCCTCCCTCCATCCTAAAATTGCTGTAAAGCCTTTAAGTAACTTCTGAATCCAGTAATCAGCCTTGGAGAAGAATGAAAGCCATAGATAAACTTACTTTTGTGGCATAAATCTATGTTCTATTGTCTGTGTTTAATGCCCTGTATTAATTGAGTTAATGCTGCATCTTAAACTATATTTTCAGTACCAAAGACTTCTAGATATTCTGCAGTATTTCTTTCATGTACTTCCTTTGCTTGTATGGAGGTTTTGTTGTCATGCAATGCTGATGTTACCATACTTTAATTTGTAACATTTTGTAAATATGTTAAGTATAATAAACTGGTCAATTTGTTCTTTTGAGTATGTGTCAAAATACGTAGCTGAGTAGTGTGAAGTTTGCGTTCCTTTTGCCTCACAGTCTTCTCATTGTGAGCAGAAATTGATAATGCTGTTTTGGTTTCCCAGATCTGTATAATCTTTGTTTAGTTGTGGGACTGAACTGTCAATGTAACTGGGTTGTTATTGGTTTCTTTTCATAGCTGGAATAATTTGTGTACTGCCACATCAAGACAAGTGGTGTGTTTTGTTTGTGTTTAACTGTAAGGAACACTGTGGAATCAGTCATATGCTATTGATTTTTATCTATTAAAGCTGGTAACTTGTAGTATTTGACTGAAAAAAAACTGAAATTGGTCTATGAAATTTACTTTTATGTATCATATTCTTAGGAATGTCCTTCCACATTTTTTTTTCTTCTGCATTTGTCATATATGGATTAACATACAAATTCTGGTTGAATTGAGCTCTAATCTTGAAAATAGTTTTTGTTTACTTTCATGGGCTACTTGAAAGTCTTTTAATAGTGTAACCCATTCATACGTTATTTACAATATAAAAAATTATAGTGTTTATGTAAGTATTTCTGGGTAGGTGAATTAATTCAGCAAGGTCCGTAATGATACAATTCCAACGTTGCTTCATTGTGCTACTTCTGTTTTTCAGTAGCAAGTCTTTTTTTTTTTTTTATGGAACTACTTTTCTAATAGATAATTATTGAACTTAATGAGGCATTTACACATCTCTACAGATGTAAGGCATAATTTTCCTGTCAGCCGTGAACATGACTCATAACTGAGCCACACCTAATGAAAGATGCAAAAATGTTTCTCAATTAAGTTCTCTTGTTAACAGTATTGCACTCAGTCACAGATCTTCTCCTTCGCCTTTTATGTGAGAAGAGGGATGCATCCTCTGACGGATGAGAACTGTGATTAGGGCCCAAGAACCACTTATGACTGGGTACTGGTTGAATTTTTCAGTTGTGAGTCTTGGAAACTCACTTGAAAATCTCAATTTGACAAAAAAACAAACAAACAAAAAAACAGTGGAAATGATGTCAACCAGAATATATTTCTCCTCTGCTTCACAGGCTGACTCTAGATGCTCTCTGAAACAGAAGATAATGTCAATTCTAACTGTTTTAGTAGCTCATAGAATTAAGATAGAGGTGCTGTCTTTAAAAAATAAATAAAAAGGTTTGTTCTGTTGACTTCAATGTTCAGTGCAAAAGCATTTGTTCCTAGTTCACAATCAATATTTTGAACTATTTTTGAAAAAAAGTTGCAAATACAGTATAGTTTATGCACTAATGTTGTCATGCAGATCAACTTAACTGTATTGACACAATCATAGAACCTGCAGAAGGAGTGGGAGGAGGCGCCACTTGAGGATCATCAAAGCCATGTCCTGGCTCTGGTACCAATTCGGCTGCTGAAATTTCACATGACTGTTTTACCTGAGACTGTTTTATCTAAAATTCAATTTCTTCTGTTCACGGAGCATTGCTTTTTCCACTTGAGCAAAAGAGGAAACGCTGCAAACTGATTTCTAATACAGTATTCAGTGGCTCTGCTTTCATCTGTAACATGGTAGTGATCATGAAACAAGAAAAACATTGTCGGTCAGGTTATACCAGTTATGCTGATAGACAGATGTTCAGAGTCAACCCCAGTAAGGTAAGCACCACACAGCTCACTTTCTTTACAGTGGGACAGGGAAAGAGTAAAAATGACAACTTGTATCCAGATGAAAATAGTTTAATAAGGAAAAGAGAAGTGGTAAAAGAAAAACAAGTGACACAAAGCCAATCGCTCACCATCTTCCAACAGTAAACTGATATCCAGTCAGTTCACAAGCAGAAGAGAGCTAACCACCCGAAAACTTCCTTTCCATTTTCTTGCTGAACATGTTATTATGTAGCAGGGAATATTTCTTTGATTAATTCTGGTCATCTGCTTTATGTTCCCTCCCAGCCTTCTGTGCACCCCTGATCTATTCACTGGGTGCGGGGTGAGAAACAGAGAAGATCTTGATGCTGTGAAAACAGTGTTGAACATTGGTTAAAATACTTCTACTGGCTCTTTTGTTTACAGATCTAAAAACAGCATCCTATGAGCTGCTATGAAAAAAGTGAACTCCATGTCATCCAATATAGCAGGTATAAAAGTAAAATAATAAGTAAACCAGGAGATACTAGATGTACGTGGAATCCATGGTACTTTAGCAAGCCATGTTAGTATCTGTTTCAGTAAATTCAGCAGGGATCATTTCTCATGCACAACGTTAAAACGTTATACCTTTGCATTTCAGAGGAAAAAAGAAGTTAATACATTAACTAGCCTTTCTTGAAACGAGTCACGAAATTTTAGCTCTTACCTGGGTAAGGGGGAGGTAGTTTGGAGTAATTTTGACTTCATAAAGCTGTGGGGTAAGAGGTTAATGCTGTGTACTTTTTCACAATGCTGAAATGTGTGATACATACATAATTAATAATAGAAGTATAGAAAGGATTAAGCATCAGAAATTGACTGCAGAAGGGTGATTCATTTATGCGTTATTTTAAGCAATTTCCTTCTTAAGAACAAAGACCAGTTTGTTTTCATAGCAAATGGGATTTGAGTTACTAATTTAGCTTTTTAATTCTTGATCTGAGTAGTTTATTGTCCATTCGTTATGAGGCTCTCTGCTGCTTTGCATGGTAGTGAAGTCAGATTTAGTTTATCCTGTAATGTTTGAGGTGTTAGTGACTTTCTCTGTTACAGTTTTTTACTTGTCAATGTGCTTTTCAAAAAATATGCAGTTCATTTTAGAATGTGGCAACATGACCTTAAGTAAACATAGTAGTACAAGAGATGATAAGTTTGGAGGCAGCTGTTGGTCAAGGGGCATAACGGTGTTTCGTTTCTTTAATAACTCTAGCCTTTAATATGAAACCTTATGACTGTAGGGAAAACAGAGATCAGTGAATAAGAAATAAAATGTTGATACCATACTATATGTGTTAGGAAGAGCCTGTTGTGTGATAAATTCATAAAATTCATAAACAATTGCTCAAAATATTAAATGTTTGATGATAGCATTGGATTGAAATAAAAAATTCTTCATTACTTTTGTACTGGAAAGCTTTGCTGATGCAGCAGAGAGATCAAGCACAGTTGGATTTGGTCCTGCTCTTACTAGAGAACTCTATAAATTTTTCTTCAATTACTTTTATTTTTTTCCCCAAAGTAGTTGTAAGTTGTCTTCAGTGAAATGCAGTATTGTTCCTAGGATTCTACGTCTTACTCATGCATAAATCTAATGGAAACATGTACAATTAAAACAAAGTTTTCTCAGTAGTTTTGCAATCAATGTCCTGGTATCCTGTCAGCTGAAATGAGGCAGGAGGCGTCCACACCACTGGGTTGCTAGGTAATGTACAAGCAGCTTTCCTAACTATTCTCACAGATATTTCTGTGTGTGTTCTTTTTTTTTTTTTTTTTTTTTTTTTTTTTAATTTTCCTTTTTTTTGAGATAGACTTCAGATGGCTGTAGGGTATAGAAAACTTTTTTTTTTTTTTAATGCAAGAGAAGGGAATGCTTACATAGAGGAGTTTTATTCTCTTGGTTCTGAATACAGCGTTGTTAAACTTGGAGTGATTTGTGTTTATGGTGGATGAAAGATTAAACTGCCTGGAACTGTGTGTTCTGTTAAGTACTGGGTGTGGCTCTTTGGTGTCATCAAAATTGAGTGGTTTAGATGAAAGAGCCCTTGAATGTACTGCTGTACTGCACTCTAATATGGAGGTTTTGCATAATATTTTCAGGAATAATTCCAACTAGAAGATGCAGTGGCAGGTTTCCTATTCTTATTTTATTTTAAAGAGTGATCTGTTGCTTCTGTAGTTGTATAGCATATCCTGTTGGATCAAGAAGAGACAGGAATTGAAATATTAGAATGCTTATTGCTCTCTGAATCCGTACAGCATTAAAATTTTTCTAGCTAGTGAGCTTTGGAAAATCAAGCCCCAGTAATTTAAAGAAGATCCAGTTAAAACTTTTCTATCTTGGCAACTTTCATTCACACTTTCAGGGAATGTACCCTTTTTTTGACATTGTTCTAAACATGGGAATTTGGGCCTAGACTTCCTGCCACTAGAGTTTGATTACAACACCTCAGACTTACTTACAGAATATACTTACAGAATACTTAAAAAAACAACTAAACAATATAAATACCTACAAATGTGCAAAGACCCTTTTATATTATATTTTCGGTAGTATGCCAGTAAACACGCAAACAGGTACCTAAAGGATTTATATTGAAAATATTGCCAGTCATGTTCTCTCTTTTCCTCCTACTGCAAAATGCTGTAGGGCATTAGGAAAAAAAAAAAAAAAAAAAAACACATAATTTTCTCCTTGCTTGACTTTTTGTAGATTGTTAATAACTGTGTCAGCTCTTGGTGGAGCATCCTTTCACTGCATTTTAAATATATATGCACAGATACAATGGTTTATCTCCTAAATGCAGCTGATTTGAGTTCTGATTTTTTGATTGTTATAAATACTTTGTAGTTATCAGTGAAATAAGTCAACAAGCACAATAAGAAAAGAACTGTAGCCCAAATAATATGCATCTAGTCAATAAGATTCATAAAGCTAGGTATTTTCTCTTTTGGCTCTCTATTAGTAATGCACTGTGAAGAGCAAGAAGCTTTATTTGAATGTCACTCTAATTGCTAAAAGTATTCAGCAAAACATTGATTAGATAAGGATTACTAAGTAATACTTAATAGGAATCCATAACTAGTTCTCTTGGCTGATATTTGGAGCTTATGCTATGGCTGCTATGTGAAGAACCATGTAGTGGTTGAATCTCTTGTACTGATGGTTGCTTATATTGGAGCAGGTGTTGATGAGTCTTTGTGTAGCACTATCCTGCAAAATGTCAAGATTTGGTCCACTGATTAATTAAATAAATTCTAAGAACTATATTAAAAATATCTTGATACTGATTACAAGTGTATCTGTAAGATAAG